ACCACTTATCCAAATTTATTTTTTTTAAATATAATGTCCCATATTTATTAAGGAAATTGACTCTATAATTTAAAATATTCCCATGGAGGAAACTCCAGGCACAGCTGGCCTCACAGTGTAAGGAATACCTAAGGAAGAAATAGCAACAAAAATAAAACAAACTCTTATGGAGACAGCAAAGGGAAATACACAAGAATTTATTTTATGAATTCAACATAATCTTGACAACAAATCTAACAAAAACTTACAGGTCAATCTCTTTCATGGACACAGATGCAAAAATCCCAAACAAAATATTAACAAACTAAAGCCAATAACATACAGAACGTATAACATTACCCATTTAGGTTTATTTCAGGAATATCTAATTAGTTTTACATTTGAAAATTAACGTAACTCACCAATTAAGAAAATAAAAGAGACAAATCATATGATGATTTCTATAGAAATCAAAAACCATCTGATAAAATCTAAAAGGGACTCATAAAAAAAAAACCAATGCTTTAGATAACTAGAAATAGAATGGGACATCTTTGATGTGATAAGAAATACAAAAAATACAACAAAAATCATGAATTGAAAGGAAAGCTTTCCCTTTGAGAACAGAATTAAGACAAGGAAGCCTACTCTTGTTTCTACTCAGTATATTAGAGGACCTAGCAGTACAATAAAGAAAAAAAGATTTAAAAATTGGAAAAAATAATTAGAAAGTGCAACTAAAAATATATGTATATTAATAAAAATACTAAATACATAGAAATAACTAACAATAGGTATGCAAAAACTCTACATAAAACACTTATTTTTCTTTTTCTCCCCAATCCCCTCAGTACATAGTTGTATATTATAGTTGTCAGTCCTTCTAGTTGTGGCATGTGGGATGCTGCCTCAGCATGGCCTGATGAGCAGTGCTATGTCCGCGCCCAGGATCCAAATCAGCAAAACCCTGGGCTGCCAAAGTGGAGCCTGAGAACTTAACCACTTGGGCATGGGGCCCGGCCCCCACAAAACACTTTTAAAACTACTTAAGACTTACACACTGGGGCCGGCCTGGTGGCGCAGTGGTTAAGTGCGCACGTTTTGCTTCGGCAGCTCGGGGCCCGCTGGTTCAGATCCCGGGTGCTGATATGGCACCGTTCGGCAAGCCATGCTGTGGTAGGCATCCCACATATAAAGTAGAGGAAGATGGGCATGGATGTTAGCTCAGGGCCAGTCTTCCTCAGCAAAAAGAGGAGGATTGGCAGCAGATGTTAGCTCTGGGCTGATGTTCCTCAAAAAAAAAAAAAAAAAAAAGACTTACACAAATGTAGGAAATATACCATGTTCACAGATTAGAAGATTCAACATCAAAAAATTAGCAATTTTCCCCAAACTTATTTACAGATTCAATCCAACCCCAAAGAAAGTCCCAGTCCCAGCAGGTTATTTTGTGAATACTAACAACATTTATATGAGAATGCAAAGGGCCAAGAAAAGCCAGGATTCTGCTAAAGAGGAAAAAATCTGAAAGGACATACACCATTAAACATAAACACTTTTTATCAAATGTGATACTAGCATAAGAGACAAAACAAACTAATGGAACAGAATAGAGTCCAAAAAAGACCCAGACATAGATGTACACATTATTATAACATATGTGACACTGCAAAACAGTTAGGAAAGTCATTCTTCAAAACTGATTCTAGATAAATTTTATAGGAAAACAGTAACCTGATGCCTATTCATACAAAAGTGAACATCAGTTCCATTAAAATAAATGTGAAAGCCAAAAACAATAAATATTTAAAAAACAACACAGGAGATTACCTTTATGAGCTTGCAGTAAGGAAAATTAATTTTAAACAGGACACAAATAACACCAACACTAACAAATTTAATAAACTAATCTAGAGATTTGCAAACTTTTCCTTGTGAAGAGCCAGACTGTACTTTAGGCTTTGAGGGCCAGATGGTCTGTGACTTTACTACTCAATTCTACCACAGAAGCCACAGATTATATGCAAATGAATCCACTAGAAGGTATTAGGGATTATGAGAGGAGTACCAGGGAAGCTTCCGGAGTGCTAGTAGTGTTTGTTTTGACCTCTGTATTAGTTATATGGGCACTGGATTTAGAATAATTCATTGAGCTCTATACTTAAGATTTGTGAACTTTTTTATATCTGCTATATATATAGAAAAAAGATTTATTAAAAATTAATGTACATTTTAATTTACTGACCAAAGAAGGAAAAGAAAGCAAACTGAAACCTGTGTAGGAAAAAAACACACACACTACATATTGATACTTGGATTTTTCAGCTAAAGTGGCACACAGGGAAATTATATCCTTAAATGCATCTATCAAAAAGCTTTGGGGGCCAGCTCGTTGGTGCGTTGGTGTAGTGGTTAGGTTCACATGCTCCAGCAGCCTGGGGTTTGCAGGTTCGGATCCTAGACACAGACCTACACACTGCTCATCAAGCCATGCTATGGTGGCATCCCACATACAAAACAGAGGAAGATTGGCACCGATGTTAGCTCAGCAACAATCTTTCTCAAGCAAAAAGAGGAAGACTGGCAACAGACGTTAGCTCAGGGCTAATCTTCCTCAGCAAAAAAAAGAAAGAGTAATACTTTTTGACCAAGTGGGGCTTGTTTCAGAACACAAACATTAGTTATTAAGAAATGTGGAAATATAATTCAATAGATCCAAAAAGAAAAATGCTATCATCATACCCATAAAATATTAAGTAGACATTTGGAAAAATTAAATTCTCATTTTTAATAAAGTAAGACTCAAAGGATACTTTGTGAACATGACAAAATCTACCTTACACCAATGCCGGCAGCATGCATAATGAAAAAACATGGCAGGCATCCCACTCAGACCTACTCTGCTAGTCCTTTGTCAAGAAGTATATCCTTTTATTGTGCTGCTTATTTTTTACAGAAGGACAAATATAAAATTAGATCCTTTCATCAGATTATACTAAAAAAAAACCTCTGGACTGATTAATGTCCTAAATATTAAAAAAAAAATTTCAAATTTGATATTCTTAGACAAAATGTAACAAAATTTCATTAGGCCCCTGGGGTAAGGAAAATAAGAATAAAAAATACAAGACACAAAAGAGTTCTATCACAATATAAAAGTTTCAGAAAGGACACCATTAAGTTAAAAGACAAAAAGCCTACCTACTGAGAGAAGATAATTAGTAACAACTATAACAAAAGATTACCATTTAAAATACAGATGGAATTCTTACAAAACTCAGCAGAAGAAAATCTGAAAAGCCATAAATTTATGAAACCTGAACAATCTCAATAACCAGATGCATGAAAATTGAACAGAAAAGTTTTTCACCCATTAGCATAGAAATAATTTACATATCTGGAGAGGAGGGAAGAAAAGCAGTTTTCTAATGAATAACAATATACCCACAAAAATTAGAAATCCTCATATCCCATAACTCAAAAATCTTAATCATAGGACCCCAGAGCAGGGATTCTTAAACTCAGTGGGTATCAGCATCACATGGACACCTTCTTAATACACAGATTGCCGGGGCCTCGCCCCCAGAATTTCTCTTCCAGTAGGTTTGGGATGGAGCATGAGAATCTGCATTTCAAACTAGTTTCCAGGTGATGCTGCCACTTCCGGTCAACGAACCTCACTTTAAGAAGCACTGCGCTGGAGTCGGCAGATACACTTGCATTTGTGCAGAGAGAATGACAAGGATATTCACACCATTATTACTGAAAAATGGAAATTACCTAAATGTCTGCCAGTAAAATACAGTATTTAGAATACAGTCTAGCCATACAATGGAAAATATAACATTAAAAGGAATAAACTACATATGGATAGATCTCAAATTATCGGGGGATTGGGGGAGAATGTTATCATATATATACATTAAGATAATTTACATATTTTTTAAAAGCACCTAAAACAATAAACAGTATTGTTCAATTATCTACATTTTTTTCAATATACATATAGAGATAAAGTGAGAAGACTAGTAGACAAAGGATGAAAACTTGGAACTAAACTAGGGGGAACAATAAGGAAGATCCCAAGAGGGAGCCGTCAGAAGAGTGGTATCAGAAGCCAACAAAGGAAGCTGTCTCAGAAAGAGCAGTCAGTAGGGTGACGGAGCAGTTGTTCAAGGAAGGCAACTACAGTCAAGTCACTGGTGACCTTTACCTGGATAGATTCTGAAAAGCAGAGGGGAAAAACCAAGACAGAATGCTATGGGGTAAAATCTGACTGAGAAGCTCAGAAACATTTACCAGAGAATTTAACTTTGAACCACCTGCTGCACAACTTGTATGCACAGCCTGGCTGAGATAAAATAGCTATGGAGAGTTTCTGGAACAGGCACGCAGGCCATTCATTCCTCTAAACCTACCAGGTTTTATACCAGGATCAAACAAGACTATCACAAAATTGACTAGTCAGCCCTCCATATCTGCGGACGTAGAACCACGGACATGGAGGGCCGACTAAGGGACTTGAGCATCCTCGGATTTTGGTATCTGCCCCGGGGGCGGTCTGGAACCAATCCCCGCGGACACCAAGGGACAACTGTCCTTGAACCATATCTTGGACTCCTTTACTCTCAGTGAGGAGCAGTTTTAGGCACTCATTTCGGGGCTGTCACTGGAATTATTCACTATGTGACCGTATGTTAAGACCAAAAAAGACATCTTCCAGGAAGTCTCTACGTCTTGAAAGCAATCAGTCTGTCTGGATCCAAAATACAGTGTCTCCCTTTCTGCCATGGTTATCGGAAACATCAGAGATTATTTGCAGGTCACTTAGAAACACTAAGATATGTAATGACCAACCTACATCTACAAGCCAACTTAGCCCTATTGATCTGCTTGTTAATTTCTATTTTCTGCGAAGTCTGATTTTCATCTATCACTAATTTCCCACCTTAACATACGTACTGTTACAAATCTCACAAAGTCCATTATAAAACAAAGTGGGGAATGAACAAACAACTTACCTGGGATTTGTTCATTTTCGGCTGCTCTTGCAAAAATGTAGACAACTCTGAAGGTGCTGGGTTAGAAGAAAAGGAATGGAGTCATGAAAAATCTGGCCTGCCTGGCAATTCTGAATTCTCCTGCCCTCTAAAGCTAGACACACGCACTAGATAGGGAGAACAGCAACGGCCCCGTGACCTTCAGAAGGAACAGAGGGATGCTCAAAGACCACCTATCTAGCATGACTCCAATACAATCATGCAGCTCTTGGGCGTAAAATTTTTCACTGGGCAAATGTAAATTTTTACTTCCTAAGGATTTAACATTTTAAACCTCTCTTGGTGTTCACAAAATATTTTACATGACAAAATTGGTTAAAAAAAAATAACACTACACCTAATAAAAATTAACTCTTCACCAAACTATTTAAAAAAAAAACTCAGGACTAGGCTGTTTACCAATTTTCCTACTAATGTTACCAAACCTTTGGTTAGTGACTCCACAGAAAGGTATAAAAAAGCAGTGCTTCAAGAAAAGGTCTATGTTTTAATTTCTTTACCTTTGTTGCTGTTTCTCAAAAAGATCTTCTCTAAGAAACTTTTACTTGTATGAAAAAGTAGACAGTACAGTCTTAGGAACCGGGAGACACGACTTTCGGTCTTGGCCACTAACAAACCGTAAACATGAACAAGTCACTAAGCTTCAGGAGCAAAAATAATTTTCTTCTGTCAAGTGAAACAAAAATAGATAATTCTTGAAGATCCTTAGGCGCTAGTGCAAGTCAGGACAGAGTAAGAGCACCTATCAAGATGCAGTAATGGACATGATTGAAGAGCACCCCACAATCCAGAAAGGATAAACGGAAAACCAAGGGAATGCGGTCCGTCTACAGACTGGTAATGGCTCAATCAGCCTAGCGAGCGAGCCCTTCTGCCAAGACCACGCCGCATAACCACCCGTCACGCGTGCGCACACGTCGTCCCCGCAGCGCCTCCCCTTCCCACGGGCTCGGTGCACCGGGCACGCATGCGCACATGCCCTCCTGCGGCCTCCAGAACCGGGCCTCACAGCGCAGGGGTTGGTCACGAGGGGGTTTCGACCCCTGGTCCTGAGGGAGACGCCCCCTCCCCGCCGCCCCGGGGTTCCGCGGGGCTCCTCCCCGCCGGCCGGCACCGACCGCCCCCAAGCCGCGTGGGCCTCCCTCTGCCCTCGTCCAACCCTCCCAGGCTCACGCGCGGCTACCTCGTCGCGTAGCACACGCCCCAGAAGAGCGGCCGGAGTCGGCGGCGCGGGACCGCCTCCCACGCGAGGCTTGAGGAAAACAGAAGGAAAAGGCGGAAGTGCACGGACGCCGAAGGCGGAACTAGACATGCGCAGAAACCCGAGCGCAGCGCCGGACAGTCAGCGCTAAACGTTAGAGCTACTTTTTCCTCGAGTCTCCGCGACCAGCGGCTCGGGATTGGATAACACCGCAGCCTTATCTAGCACGTGGGAAGTTGGGGCGTCTGAGATAGTTCTCCAAGGAGCCCAGAGCCCGTTTGGGGTTCCCCGAAAGTTACGGATTCCAACTGAGTTGTCTGTGCAGTCAGTGTGCCGTTTAGACGCAGAGCTGTGAAGGAACCTGCGTATCACTTTCACTTTTTTAAATACTAGGAAATAGAGCCCATCAATACAATAAAAAAATAATATCTGACACCATCAGCAATTCTCTCAGGAAAAAGAAGCCCGGGGGTGGGGGGAGATAAGAAAGCTAGTTTATGAAAGTCATGAAAGCAATAAACGAAAATTATAGATAAATCAGAAAAGAGACACAAGCCAAAAGAAAATATCGTTATTCGTTTACATATTCTTTCCTTTGTGACATTAAAATTACGTGAATAAATGGAGATATACCCTTTCGTAAAGAGAAAGATTCACTACTCTTTGACAAGATTCCAATAAGAATCCCAACTAATTTTTGTATATATATTTTTTCTCTTCAACATACATATTGTGCACTTTACGAAAGCATTCTCAAGTATCCTGGAATAAATAAAAATCTAAATTAACTGCTAGAAAGCATTTCAAAAAAGAGAAAAAAATGCCTAAAAAATATCAATATGTATAATATTGCTCTATTATTTATAATAGTTTGGCATCTGCTTTATGGAAACACAACGGCCATAATTAAGAATATTTTTTAAATGTAGTATAATAAATGTAGCATTTCAAAAGAATGAAGGCATGAATGGAGTATTCCAAAGAGCAAGTCATTCGCAACAATTTGGAATAAAGCTTAGACCATAGGTCACAAATGATAGACTTCACATGGATTCAAGACTTGAAATGTTTAAAGTAAACCACTACATTAGTAAAAAAAATAAACTTAGATGGAAAGTTGTGGCACCAAACAGAGAAACCATAAATTTAATATCTGATACATTTTATTATAGAAAATAACAAACAACTCAGTTGTAGTTTAAAAAAAGTAACAAACAAATAAGCCGGGAAATTGTTTTTACTATTTGAAAGAAAAGATGTATTAATAAGGAGATCTTTAAATCAATAAGAAGAAAAAATTTAAATGGACTACAGAACTGAGCAGTAATATAATAAAAAAGAAAATGCAAATAAATACATGTGTGAAAAAGTCCATTTTGAAAATTGAAGAAATGTAAATGTTTAAGTAAAAACATGTATGATATCATTTATTGAGATGTAAATTTTTTGAATTTATATACACAAAAGTTCACCCTATTTGATGCAATTTTATGAGTTTTGACAAACGCATAGACCTGTGTAACCACCACCACAGTCAAAATACAGAACTGTTTCATCACTGCCCAAAAAATTCCTTCATGTTACCCTTTTGAAGTCAAAGTCGCTCACCACTCTTAACCTCTGGCAGCGACTATCTATTCTTCATGCCTATAGGTTTGCCTTTTCTAGAAAGTCATATATATGGAATCATACAGTATGTAGCACAATATGAATCTGGTATCTCTACTTAGCATAATACATTTGAGATTCAAACATGCTGTTTGATGTATCGATAAATTTGTTGGTTTTTATTTCTGAGTCCTATTCCATGGTATGGATTTACCACAGTTTGCTTATCTATTATTCCCCAGTTGAGCAACATTTGAGTTATTTCCAGTTTGGTGAAATTATGAATAAATAAAATACCATTTTGCAATATAAGATTCAAAAAGATTAAATAGAAAAGTAATGTGTAGTTATGCTATGAGCTTCAGCAAATGTTTATTCCCACTCACTTTTATTGTGAGTTTAAATCATGTAAACTCTCTGGAACCTCATTTTTATCAAACTTTAAAGGATTTTTAATCTGGCAATTCCACTTACATGACTATACATGCCTTTATAATAATAAAATTAATTTCATTGATGTATGTACAAGATTGTTTACATCAATCAGGGTCCAGATGGGAAGAAAGACCACTCAAATGCTACAACAGAGAGAATTTAACAGACAGAGGTGTTTTAAAGGCAAAAGTGAACACTGAGATTACACAGGGGTGACAGCTGCAGGTAGCAGCTACCAGCCCAGGCAAATGGAAGAGGTCGAAGCTCTAAGAACTTAGCCACTCAGAAGAGTGGCCCCACAGAGCTAGGATTAGACATCTGAAGAAGAGGAAGTGCCTGAGTCATGGTGGCATCTCAGGTACGCAGAGAAGAGCCATTTAGAACTGAGAGTCAGACCCTCAGAAGGGTGTCTTCCAGTTACTGCAAGCCTTTCAGAAGGGCATGGTGGGGTAAAAACCTCTGAGGCTCCTGACTCTGAGGGGCATTCTGCTCAGCAGGTGCTGATAGTTAGAGAAGGATCAATGTGACTAAATCTGGGAGAGCTAAAAGAAGCTGGAGAGTGAGAAAACGTGCTGGAATTAGATAGTAGTGATGGTTGCACAACTTGGTGAATATACTTAAAACAAATGATTTTTCCACTTTTAAAGAAGTGAATTTAATGATATGTAAATTATATCTCAATTTTAAAAATACTTTTTAAAAAGAAGAAGCTGGAGTTTGGAACTAATGGCCGAAGTGACGGGCTCCTATTGCTGGAGTGATGTTGACAAGAGCATCCAGCAAACAGGAAGAAGTTCCTTATCCTGTAATCCTGCCCTCCAAACTTCCTGTAGGACCTCTCAGAGCAGAACCTAACAGGCAGCCAGGGGACAAGTGTGAAATGTGGTTTATGTAATCCCAATACCAATATCTCAAAGCAGAGCAGAGAATGCTAGATTTAGTGCAAACAGGCAATAGCTAAATGACCAGCAGAGTTCTTTCCAATTTAATTTATAAAAGCAACTATTGGAAACAAAATGTCCTTGAAGTTTGCCTAAGTAAAATAAATTAGGGCAGTCCATATAATGGAATGCTATGCAATCATTAAAAGTGATAATATAGAAGTATGCTAACTTACATAGGCTGTGGTCACAAAATATTTTCAAATTAAAAATTTGGTTTCCACAAGAATATTTAAGATAAGATCACATTTTAAAAAAATGTACCAGAGGGTGACGTCAGCATCATGGTGGAGTAAGACACTCCTCCTTTTTCTCTTTTTGAACAACTAAATGGACATCCATCCACTAACAAATATGCCTTAGCAGGAGTTTTGGAATCCAGGACCATATGCCAAGAGACCCAGAATGAGTCTTGCACGTCGCTGCATCTGATAATAGGCAGAGAGACGTTAGTATGGGCTGCAGAACCAGCAGAGCCAGCAAACCTGCCCCAATCCCCCTCTTGCCGTAGTTGGGAAAACACCTGGAGAATGCTCACCTGGGCAGATACCCATGGAAGAGAAAGAATTTGCCGGAGTCCAGCTTTCCCAAGGGGAGATTCCAGCAAGTCATTGGAGCAAAAAAATAAAAAATAAAAGGACAAGTTTGGACACAGTGGACATGGTAAGAGGAATTGGCCAACACCAAACCTCCCTCAAGGCAACTCTGCATGGGACTGACTGTCAGGCAGTGGTGACCTCTTCCACAACGAAAAGGGAAGCAGTGAGTGAATGTGGGGTTACCCTAGTTGTGCAGCTAGACTGTTTCTCTCCACTCAGAGTACTAAGGCAAG